TTCTCTCTTTTCTTAGGTAATGTTGGCAGCAGCACAGCACTGGCTGAAGTTGTAAAATCGTGGGCTCCTCCAGTCAGACTTTCCTCAACAAAAGAGATTCTTAGGGTCAGGATCATTGAGATTAGTCTTTTTGATTGGATTAAAATAATATAATATTCAAGTGTTTTGTGTTATTAATAGAATGCAGAAAAAGGATGTTATGCTGTTGGTGCATTCAATGTTTATAACTTGGAAGGAGTTGAAGCAGTTGTTGCTGCGGCAGAGGAAGAACAGAGTCCGGCTATATTACAGGTAGGACAAATGAACCTGAAACTTGATTATTCTTCACCTTTAAAGTTTGGCTAATAATCCGATGGCAAAAAGGCTTGTCATTTGGAAGGATTCATAATGCTGAAGCTTCGTACCCTGTTACACCTTGTATTGTAATTTTTTCTGCCAAAGCTGACACTTGTAACTCAAACTTCGTCTCTGCTTATTTTCAATACTTTTCACTTTCCAGAAGCTTAAAGTTCAAAGGAACAATTTTGACAAATTTTGGCATGAAGAAATATTTGGTCCTTCACAAAATGATTACTTTTCCCATTTCTGTCTAATTCTCACTATTCCTTTTTTAGATTGCAAATTTGTATGTAGCATTTAGGGCACGGACTTACATAAATTGAAATGTGCATGGCTATAAGTGGAGTATAATTTCTTTGATGCCCATTTTCCTTGCAGATCCATCCTGCTGCCTTTAAGCAAGGAGGGATTCCCTTAGTTGCCTGTTGCATCTGTGCTGCAGAACAGGCTAATGTAAGCTAATTCATATCTGATTGAAAGAGAGAAGAACATCAGTAATGCACTTATATGTAGCAGAAACTCTGCTATATGTGGTGTACAGATATAATAAATTTTTTATGCTCTCTTATAAAATGTTAGTTCTCTGCACAAATGACAGAAAGTCAGACGACACTGTTGGTTTATAGAGATCCTTAGACAGTCAAATGCAGCCCAGCAATTCGTGGAAGCCTAGTCTGGCATTCTGCTCCGCATAGCCATTTGTTTTGATACGTGATTCACGTGGACATTATATGCCGTCTAACCTGAGCTTATACCAAAAGTATCTGTTTTGAAATAAAACATTGAACATAGAGAATGTTTGTGAATGTTTTATTAGGACACTGTGATTTGTCTTGTATCATTGGTCTTTCCAGTTAAAGTTTTGGGTTATAAGACATGAGTTTGCAATTATATGTCCAGTTGAGTCATGCCATGAACACTCTACTTCAGTTAATGTAAACAGTATAGATAAGTTTTCTTTTTTGGTCAGAAAACAGTATAGATAAGTTAAACAGGGGTTTTTTGGTCAAAAAGTTAACAGGGTTATGCACATGCTTTAATGGCAGGTTCCAGTTACAGTTCATTTTGATCATGGAGCTTCCAAGGATGATCTCGTGCAAGCCATTAATTTGGTATATAACTCTCAACCCTGAGTCATATGCTATATTGGTGGCATAGAGAATGATCCAGTATGGGGTCTCGAGCTGCAGCATATTCTATAAAGGAAACATGGGTCGATTAATTCTCTGTTCACGTTAACTTTCCAGGGATTTCATTCGGTAATGGCAGATGGTTCGCATCTCTCCTTTGATGATAATATCTCCTATGCAAAGTTCATATCGTCTTTGGCCCACTCAAAAGGCCTGCTCGTTGAGGCTGAACTAGGGAGATTGTCAGGGACAGAGGATGACCTGACTGTCGAAGATTATGAAGCAAGGCTAACTGATGTTAATCAGGTCAATATATCTGTCAATATATGCAAGCCTTATATTCGTGGTTAAAATGTCATGTTTTCGTGAACCGGCCTCTTTAATTTTCAGGCAGAAGAATTTATTGATCGCACTGGTATAGATGCTTTGGCGGTGTGTATTGGAAATGTTCATGGAAAATATCCTCCCGGCGGTCCAAATTTGAGGCTTGATTTGCTTAAGGTCTGGAATAGTTTTCTCTGGCCCTTATTAAAATCCTTAATCATGCAATGACGATGCATTGGTGGTTAAGACACTTTTATATTTTAATTATTTGTGTAAAAAAACTTAAGCTCAAATGCATCTCTATGTACATTAGTGTGTATATTCTGAAGAAAAACTAGCGAAATATCGAGGTACATAGAGTTTCTTAGTAAGCCCTATAGGCGGTGAAAGATATTGCAATTATGATAGTAAAAAGGTTCTTTTTGTGCATATTTAATACTGCCAGTACCCAAATCTCGGGTAACCAAATCCTCATTCCACATGCTCATCAGGATCGACACATGAATTACAAGAGGACAGTTATTCCTTCTTGATGGACACATCCCAATCTGGATAGTAGTATAATGGCTTAATTTAAGGAGGCAAAATTGGGTTAAAAAATTTAGCAGCAGGCATAATCTGATAACTCAAGGTAGCGAAGCATTTGTTGGTCTTTCATGCTACTTGACACTGCCCACACCATTGACTATTCAATCCTGAGTGACTGCTTAGCCGCACAAAGAACAGTATCGAACTCTCTGTTAGAATTGCATCATTGCAAGGCTGGGCTTGCTCCATATTGGCCGACTCTTTCTGTGAAAGTTGAGATGTTCTCAGAGTCTCATGCATGTATGCATCATAAAAAGTGTTGATTAGCATTCACCAATTGCCTAGTGAGAGATTCACCCACGACCTTTTTAACTGGCAAAATATCTGTAACTCTTTTTGGAATTTTTGAGAACTAATATGGATTCTATCCTTGCTACATCTTATCCATCAATGTTTCCCTTCCCTAGGACCTGCAATCGTTGACATCCAAGAAGGGAGTCTCCTTGGTGCTTCATGGAGCTTCGGGCTTGTCTGAGGAACTCATCAAGGTAATTAGTTCTTACAAAAAGCTACTCCTTAACAGGCAACTGATTCGAAATGGATGATTGTGATGAGCGTGAGTAAATGTTCAGAAGCTAACAAAACCAACTCGAATCGTTTGCTTTCGACAGGAATGCATCGAGATGGGCGTTAGAAAATTCAACGTGAACACGGAGCTTCGAAAGGCGTACATGGAATGCTTGAGCGAGCCCAAAAAAGATCTCGTCAATGTCATGTCATCCGCGAAGGAAGCTATGAAGGCTGTTGTTGCAGAAAAGATGCACCTCTTTGGTTCAGCTGGAAAAGCGCGATGACAAAAGCTGTTATGTTATTCTTCACTAATTCTCAAGGAGTTGAATAAATGGTATTGACCTGGAGATGTAAAGTATCTTAATTTCCAGAATAATGAGACATCTTCATTTTTTTCAACTATGTACTCGGTCCCCATGGCATTTGTGAAAGATATGGTTTCATGTGTGATAAAATGGATCAAACAAAAATATCAACCTTCAAAATTGTGGCAATTATCTTAGATTAAAACATTGATAAATTCCTCGATAACTCTTTTTCTAGATCATAAATAATACAAGTCAAATCACGCCTTCCTCTAAAGAGCCGGCACTTACTTCGATAGGTGATTGAAGAAGAAGCTGATAGAATATTTAAATGTTAAATCACGCTTTCATATAAAGAGCATTTAGGACCTAAATGAGTTGATGCAGATATCGGACATCTTAAATTAATTGAAGTAATTTCTCTTTTTCATCGTTCATTTTGTGAAATTTGACGTGAATCGTGAAATGTGAAATGATATCAAGTCTGCTGGAGGGGATTTATTACTAAAGTAGACATTATTAAAAAGTTGACAATGAAATTATCGTTGGTAAAATTTGGCACTAAATTGATTTTTTTTGTCGAAGGCACTAAATTGATTATTTGTAAAGTTTCAGCACGATACTTTTCAAAATTAGAAATTTCACATCCCATCGTGTTTGCAAGCAAAAATCAGAAATAAAAAATATTAATTTTTGCCACCATTTTTTTTTTTGTTATGTTAGACTAAAAATTTAAGTCATGGAGCAATCTCTCTGTATCTCTCTCCACAAATAATTTCATTTACAATCACAAATATTTATTTGCTTCCCTCCTAAAAAGAGAAAAAAGTGAGCAAATTTTTTTTTCACTTCCCTTCCCTAGTTTCGTATCTATAAACAATCAATTTAGTACCTAAACTTTATAATAATCCTTTTTATGTCAAAACCTTTTTAAAACATCTATTAAGTGACTCCAGCGAGCCTTTTATTATTAAAATAATCCCACATCTTTCAAGCAAGCTAAGTTATGGAGGTCATTTAATTAATCGTTTTTTAACAGTTGTGCCATTTAAATGACATTCGAACTAAATTTGACACCAAAATAGATGTCTGTACAACGGTTTTAGCATTGATGGTGTCTTATTCCAATAACTTTATACAAGTAAATTAACTCAAGAGAATATAACTGAAATCCTAGATAATATCTTATAACCAACTTAAAGTGAGGAAACAGATTAACAAGTAGGTGGGAAACAAATAAGTTTAGACAAACTTTTACTTTTATAATATTCTAATTCCGATTATTATACCACCTTACTAATGTACACATCAATAAACTAGAAATTTCTACTAATAAGTAAATAAATCAAAATATGAGTGTTACAATTTCTTTTAAAAGAGAGTTTTTTTTTAAAGAAGTGTTAATATTACGAAAAATTTAAAACTGATACTTTTGTGATAAATTTATCCAAAACTAATTTTTTGACCATAAAAAATTTAAAATTTGTAAACTTGTAACAAATTTACCCTCTATTAGTTTTCGTTAAATTTTACAGTCAAATTCCTGAGTCAAATGATACGTGGCGGTTGATGGATATACCAGTTTGGGTTTTACCTCTGTTTGTCACATGTGTACTGATTGTAGTTTTTTGTGGTATTAATCAAATTTAACGGAAATTATCGGAGGATGAATTTGTTACAAATATGCCAGTTTAAGATTTTTGATAGCGAAAAAATTAATTTGAGATAAATTTATTTTGATGTTTTGGGTTAAAGAAAAAAAGAGAGTTCAAGAGTTAAAGTAGAATTCAGGAAATAACTCAAATACATGTTACGGATACGAACTCGAGCGCGCGCACAACCCTACAACCACCCGACGTCATCCTCGAGATCGTTCCCGGCGCCGGTAACCTCACCAAGAAGCTCCTGGGCGCCGGCAGCCCGCTCTCGCCGCCGAATTGGACCCTCGCATGGTTCTCGACCTCCAGCGCCGGTTCTAGGCCACGCCTCACTCGAATCGTTTGAAGGTAATTGACTTGAACCGCGCCGTCTTCTCTTTAGGTGCATTCCTTGCCTGTCTCGGGAATGTGTTGGAGTTTTTCCGGTGAAAACAAGGTACTTTATTGATGGGTTTATGGCGAGGGTATGGAAGTGAGAGGATTATTTTCTGGACGTCCCATTTGTGGGTACATAGCATCAAACTACAGTGTTTAGCTGCTGTTGTAATTTGCCTTTGGAGAGGTATTAGAAGTTAGAAAATGATAGCATATCGCAGCTTCCGTGTCTTCTGCACTGTGAAAAAGTCAACCCTTTTTATATCTTGCGTTGTACCTTACTTGGCTACAGAATTGAAAAGTAAATGTGGAGGAGCATACAGCAGGTTGTTCAAGCTTTATCAGTACCACTAGTCTTTGGGTTTGTAAAAAGGTGTAAATTGAAGCCTCGGGCTGGGGGCAGCTGGAGAACCCGTGTCTTGATCCCCTTACCAATACTGAAATGTGTGTACTAATTGAACAGCTTGAGTTGTGGAGATTAGAGGCTGTCCTGCTGTTTCGGTTTCTCACCGTGTGTATCACTGTCTTGGTGTTGTGCATGTTCTACTTCTTTGAGCTGTGGAGATTGTGTGGCTGTTCTTGTATTGCTTTTGTGTTCCTAGAGCAGTCTTATTTAAGAGGCGGGTCAAAAGGATCGTAATTTACTTTGGATCTTTGAGTAGTCATACTCAGGTGATGCTTGCGTCTTTGCTATAAACAAAATGCTCTTCAAGCCATGCCAGGCAAATATGTGCAAGTGCAATCACTGACTTAAGGATGCAATGCGTTTTGGTCGATAGGGCTTGTGCTTGATTGTTCCATGGTGATGGGTTGGAAGGTTTATATCAGTTCATTGTCTGTCATTTTGCCAGTAACAAAACAAGTGTGTTGTTTGAAACCAGCCTTCCTCCCAAAGGAATTGCAATAACAACATCCGTGCTTGATCAAGAAAATTGAAGTGTTGCAAACTGGATGAAGAGAGAGATAGAGAAAAAATTGTTATGTTTGCCAATCAATAAGGATTTTTTTTCTTTTAATTTTTCCCTGGATTCAATTTGGGGTCTCATTCCTGGCCCGCACCCCCTGAGTGATATTGGGGGTTGCACGACCCCAACAGTTGCTTGATAAAGGGGTGAAATAAAGTCCGCTATAGGGGGAAATTTCGAGAAATTGGTGCCACTTTGGGAAGATTTTTGGAATTTTCCTCTATTCTTTGGATATTGCTAGAGATACGGCTACTGGGAAGTTCTAGTTATTATGGTTTAATCCTACTAGAGTCTCATTTCTCTGCATCGTCTTTATATGTGGCATTGAGGAGCGTTGCATGACTAGTGTCTGTATATACGTCTCTGAGTATAGCTGCGGAAATGCAATTGTCCAGCTTACGGTAGCTTATTCTTTGGATTTTGTCGAATATTACGATCATGATGTTATGAAAGAGTTAAACTATAGGAAGTGCTTGATCAGCTCAGTATCATACAAAGTCAGTCATAGTATTGTTTTACGCTTGAGAGAGATAGTCTCTGCTATGTTCTATGAAAACCATCCTAAAATTGAAGTGTGTTGATTGCATCGTGAGGTACATTGAAGGAAAAACAGTAGTTAATAGAAAATTGTATGGAGAAAATTGTGGTCAAAATTGCGAGGCCGTCTGTGATATAGGTGACTTTTGCACTATGATGCCCGTTAGTTTGTGCTGATAACAGTGTAAACCCCTCAATTCTTTTGCATGTGATAAATAACATCATTGTTAGAGCTTTCCAAACATCTTCTATTTGTATTTTTCACAAAGGTTGATTTTTTGACAGTCCTACTGTCCTTAATTTCATGTGACTTCAAGTTGAGTATTACAAACAAAACGATTGATGAGAATTTGCAACACATAATTTGGGTAATGCCTACATGTGTGTCATGTGCATGGATCAAAAAGTTCTTTTACAAGTAACTAGTCAATTGACAGCCACTAAGCACTTGATCAGGCGGTAGGGGTACGGGCGAGGAAGGAGACCCGAAATCGAATTTTGGGAAAAATTATATATAAAACTTACTGATCCTCAAACTTATCGATTTTTTTTCTCTATCTCTCTCTTCACCCAGTTTGCAATGCTTGATCAGGTTCAAAGAAAAATAAGAAAATTCTGTCAAAGTTCCGTTTGAGTAATTATCCATCTTTTTGCTAATTTAACTTTCAAATCGTGAATACATGCATACGGGGTATTTTAAGTAAGCTGCTTTTCAAATTTTTAATTTTTAAGGCAGGTTGCTATGCAATCTAGCAAAACTATAAAGACTCCACTCATACGATAGTTTCAGGCTAGTGTACAATATGCATGATATGAAGGAAGAAGTGGAAGTTTCAGGGTCTTGGGTAATCTTTTTCTTTCTCTTTTGCGTTACAAAACCGGTCATTGATTGTGTAATTCATTCGAATCATCTACTTTTGTACTTGTGAACTTTGTGTAATCTTGCGTGTGCTTCATTCCAGAAGTTTTGAGCTTTTGACTTTCAATCTGTATCTGCTCTTCAAGTTGTGGTTGTTTAGCTTGGTTTATGCTCAGTCATAGGATTTGTACATTCTCGTTGTTTCGATTTGTGTTGTTTAGGAAATCCGTTTGCTATTTAGTTATACTCTTTCAGTCACTCACTTCTCATACTTTTGTTAGGAAAAGTAACTTATAAAATTTAAGCGGGAGGAAGTGTAAGCCCCTACTACAAAATAAGCAAAGAAGAGTCAAACAAGCTCGAGCTCAAGCTCAATTATGAGTTTGGCAAAGATTGAGTCAGGTTAATTCGAGCTTGCAAAAAATATTTTCGTGATGAGTTCAAGCTCGGAAACTGATATTTGAGCTTGAGTTGAAATTTGAGTATTAATTTTAGGAGTTGAGTCGAGATCAAGCTTTCGACTTGTATGCTTAGCTCGATTGCATGGCTATTTTCTGCTAGGCAACTGTACTTTGCTTTATTTCCTCTTTGTTTGCGTGTTGTGTGCTTGTTCGATTTGAGTATTTGAATTGAGTCAAGTTCGATTATCTGATTTTGTCCACTCAACTCAGCTATTCAACCTTAATACAAGGACTCCGTTGTGATCTACCAATAGAAGGGCATATCTGCCCTTGCAGGTTTCTTGGCCTCCGACAACAAGGTGAGGTGCTAAAAAGTTAATACTGAAGAACCTCATACACTAAATTTCAAAGCTAATCGAGCAACTCGATAATCGGGTTGGAGAACCAATTATCTGTCAGAGATGCAGCACGATGAGGTTATCTGGCAAGTCATACGGCACAACCATTGTAGTTATATGGCCAAGTGAGTAGATTAATCCGAAATGATCTCACCTTATCATGTTACTTCTCCTTGCCAATTTGGGCAATAATCACCTTTATTTGCTTCTAATTTGATCTCGCAGGATTACCACTGGAATATTTTGTCGAAATGAATACAATGTAACAGGGATTTGTAATAGGAGCTCCTGCCCTCTAGCTAACAGCCGCTATGCTACTATCCGTGACCATGACGGTACTATGTTTTAACTGTTCTCATGACAGGGCTTCTTTTTAGTTCTGCCATGTCTTTCCAAATCCTTAATTGTATATGGTACAAAAAACTGATTTGACATGAGATTTCCAGTTCCAAAGTTATTTTGACAGCTTCGGGTCAGCAATTGAATGCATTCTGTTTTGATTTTAAACTAATCTCCAAGTATATGTTTTTTTTTTTCTATTATGCAGGTGTCTTTTACTTGTATATGAAATCAATAGAAAGGGCTCACATGCCTGACAAATTGTGGGAAAGAGTGAAACTGCCGAGAAATTATGAGAAGGCCCTTGAGATTATTGATAAGCATCTGGTATTGGCAATTTAACTTTGCAGTGTAACAGATTGTTTTGCTTTGTTCTGGCATTTCACTAATTGCTTTGAATCCTCTGTTGGCAGATGTATTGGCCGAAGTTTCTTGTTCATAAGACCAAGCAAAGGTTGACCAAAATGACTCAAATGCGCATCCGAATGAGGAAGCTTGCTCTGAAAACTAGGTTCAATCCCCTTCATGCATTTGGCTGCTCTATCATAGAATGTGTTTTCATGATAAACTATATCTCTTAATGTTCTGTTTTGCTATTTGATGGCACTTCTCAATTTAAACAGTAATATGGCTATTATAGTTGCGTGTCATCTAGAATTTCCGTTGCTCTGACTTTCAACTCTGCATGTCGTTGCCTCAGATGTGAATGAAAAAGAACTATTTGTTCAAGTGAATGTTTATGCGTCAGATTTGGGAATACGAATCTCTTGTCAAACAATTTTGTCTTTAGCAGCTAATATTTCTAGGTTTATCTACAGTTCTCTTAGTAAGGTTTCTCTACAGCTCTCTTATGTCGATTTTAGCACTATGTTTATTTTCTCTAAAGTTTCTATATTGTACATAAATTATGTGTTGCCTCATGCTTATATCATGATTGTAAAATTGCAATTCATGAGGTCGTTGCATTTGCATTTGTGAAACCTCCTTGTTCAAGAACACACAGTGGACATTGCTATTACTGATGTCTGGATAGGTCCTTTGGGCCATCTCCTCTGTTTCAGCTTTATACTTCAATGTGCCTTTCTTTGCTAATAGGGAAAAGATTATGACAACACCGAGGAAAGAAAAGAAGAGAGAGGCTAGACGGGAGGAAAAAGCAGAAAAGGCGGCAGTTTTGGAAAAGGTTTGTTGGGTTCACCTTTATACCCATGGTTTCACCCATTCTATTAACCAAGATTTTTACTTATTGTTGGCTCTGCTGCAGAGTATTGAGAAAGAGCTATTAGAACGCCTAAGGAAAGGAGTGTATGGTGATATCTACAATTACCCCGTCAAAGAGTACGAAAAAGTCCTTGAGATGGATTCATTGCAGGCTGCCGATGAAGATGAAGAGGAGGTATACTATATGACCACATGCTACTTTTGTTGTTTGAGAAGGTACATATGGCTCCGTTAGAACAGTATTTCTGTATGAAATACGTAGAAGTTTTACTTCTTGCTAGAGTTCATTTGATGATTAGGCAATCGTTATTCTGGAATGAGCAGGAACCTGAGATAGAGTATGTGGAAGGTTACGACGAACTTGAGGAAGAACTAGAAGATGATATTGAAGATTTTGGCTGTCTTGCAATGAATAGAGTTCGTGCAATTGGTGACAATGGCGAAGGTTCTTTCTATACCTAGATACATTTTTTTTCAAGAGCTTTTGTCTTTTTTTCCCCATTCTTTATGGTTTCTGTTAGTTTTATTATTAGATAATTAGCAAGTTGGGTTTATTTTAGGAAAGGGTATTTAGGTCTTTGTATCAAGGCTTAACCCTAAGCCTATATATACTTGGTTTATCTCAATAATAAAGTAGATCTCTTTTACCAAATTACATGGTATCAGAGCAGCTCGAGAATATACTTCCTCTATGGAAGGAAGGGTGCCCAGAGAAGTAATCTGCTGTCTTAGGGCACTGTGATCTGGACCAAGACCTCGAAGAAAGAGGACCACCAGCATGTCTGCTTCTCTCTCTGCTGCATCTGAGTAACTGTTGTGGCTGGTGGAAGATGAGACCGGAGTCGCTGAGACAAAGAAGTAAAACGAGCATAGTATTCTGCCAATCCGGAAGGACCAATTTTAGCCTCAAATAATGCCTCCCACATATCACATACTCGACTCATATTATTCTGTCCGAATAAAGTAAAGTGCATTTGGACCACACCTCACGAGCTGTCATACAATCCATAAAAAGAGGACGAATAGAATCAGTCATACTTCCCCACAAGAGTACGCACGCGCGCGTCGGTGACCCTCCATTCTTCTAAATTAGCTGAATCCTCAGGTGGTGGTTCATGGAGCCACCTAGATTGGCGATTAGCATAAATAAAAGTAGAAAGGGCCATTGACCAACTCGGGTAATTCGTGCCATCCAACTTTACTAATGTGGTGTGTAAACCACTCATACCAAAGGAACCAGTAGCAATAGTCGGGGTAGTCACCCCTGAACAAACATCCGAAGTTACTGAATCAGTAGACATATCCACCAATTAAAAAGAGAACACTGTAATCTATCAGATTGTCACCAAATCCACTAAAAAAAAATGTGAACACCACCAACAGCAACTATCAATCACACTACAAGTCACCACACCAACTTCCACTACCACATCAACCAGATCTGCTCACCACATCAACCACCACTACACTTTAATTAAAAACAACGTCTTCACATCAGACAGTGCAAGACAGCAGAGAAACACGAGCAAAAAATCCCATAACCAAGACAGATCAGTAGAGAAGCAACAGGAACATGACCAAAAATTTCTTCACATCTGTTGCCTCTCTTTGCGAATCACATCACTGGAAGAGGCGCTGAGTCGCGCTCTGGAGGCTGATCCAGATGAAGAAGACCGAGGCTCAATATCAATGGAAGCCTGTAAACCCTGCAACTCAGGATGGAGATCATAACAATAGTTAATAGTGTGTCCAGCCAACTGACAATGAGTACAAAAACGACCTCCACTAGCACTAGCAGTACTACCACCTCGAGGAACACCTCGACCCGGAATAGTGCGGCCACGACCATGATTAAAGTTACTTGTACTCCAATTGCCACGACCACGAACTCCTTGATTACCACGAGCCACCATAGCACTATTATCTGACATAGTTGAAGCTTTCGAATCAGGAGTACTGTGCAGTTGACTCGTGCAGAATATGATGAGCTGATTAGAGCGCGACAACCTGGTGGTTCTTCAGCTCCTGTTGCTACTTTGGCACAACATAATGATGGTACTTGTCTCTTAGCCACTACGAGATACACTTAGTCCTTGGATTATTGATTCGGTGCCACTCATCATATGACCGGTGATTCGCGTCTTCTTACTTCATCTTCTTCTACTCCTTCCACTTGATCACCTTAGCGAGATGGTTCAAAATCTCAAGTAGCTGGTACAGGTTGTGTGTCATTGAATTCCTCCATATCTTTGCCTTTTGTTTACCATATTCCTCGATTCCCTTATAGTTTGTTATCTGTCAGTTCCATTACTCGTGATCTTGATTGCAATATCACCTTTTCTCCATCTTCATGTGTCCTCCAGGATCGGAAGACTGGACGCCGGATAGGTGGTGGGTGTGAGGCTGGTGGATTGTATCTTCTAGACCCCGTGATTGTTTTCGCCATCGCTACTATTCGGAAAGAAGGCCGTGGATGACTCTTATCGGTTGCATTGTCGTCTGGGTCATCCGTCAACAGATACACTTTGTCATTTTCCTTTTGTGTCTAGATCGAGTCTTAAGTTTGATTGTGAAACGTGTCAGTTGGGAAAGTATCATCGTGTGTCTTTTCCACCCCGTGTTTTGAGTCGTGCTTCTCAACCATTTGAGTTAGTTCATTCTGATGTTTGGGGTCCTAGTCGAGAGTCTTCATTTGGTTTTCGTTATTTTGTCACTTTCATTGATGATTGTACTTGTACCACTTGGTTATATTTAATAAAAGATCGTATTGAGGTATTTCACTCCTTTCGTCAATTTTACAATGAAGTTACTACTCAGTATGGATATCCTGTTAAATGCTTACGTACAGATAATGCTCGTGAGTATTTTTCTTCTTCCACCTTTCTTCCTTTCCTTGAATCTCGTGGTATTTTACATTAGAGTTCTTGCGCTCACACTCCACAACAAAATGGAGTTGCTGAACGTAAGAATCGTCATTTACTCGATGTTGCCCGGTGTCTTCTTCTTCATACACATGTACCTAAATCTTACTTGGAGCTATGCTATTCGTACAAACATGTCATCTTATTAATCGTCTTCCATCTTACGTGTTAAAGGGAGCTGTTCCTTTTACTCTTCTTCATCCTAATCAACCTTTATGGTTTATTCGTCCTCGTATTTTTGGTTGTGTCTGTTTTGTCCATCAGTTGTCTCCTGGCCTAGACAAATTATCTCCCCGTGCTGAAAAATGTGTCTTCGTTGGTTACTCTCGTACCCAAAAGGGTTATGTTTGTTATAATCCTACTTCTCGTCGAGAGTACGTCTCTGCTGATGTTACCTTCTTCGAGGATCGGACATTTTTTGGTAATGTTTCTTGTCCTGCACCGTCTTCCTCACCTTCTCAAACATTGTTAGTTCCCCTACCTATATCTCCAGCAGAATCACCATATGTCTCTTCTCTATTGTTGTTCCATCAAATCCAAGTTCATCTCGGCCACTACAGTCTATACACGTGGTCCTCGCCGTGCTTGGAATCATGACTCTCCATCAGCAGACGCCTCACCACTATCTCCGGCCCCGGCTTCTGATCCTCTTCCATCACCTCCAGTTGACTCTCCTGTTGCACACCGTACTCGATCTCGGTATCCTCTTGCTCATTTTGTGTCTTATCATAATTTATCTCCTCAAATGTCATCATTTGTGTCGTCTCTCGCATCTGTGTCTGTGCCCAATAGTGTGCAGGAAGCTTTAGCTCATCCAGGTTGGGCTCGTGCTATGGAGGAAGAAATGGCTGCACTACAACACAACAAGACTTGGGAACTTGTCTCTTTACCTCCTGACAAGCAATTGGTAGGTTGTCGGTGGGTATTTGTTGTTAAATATCATCCTGATGGTTCTGTTGAGCGCTTAAAGGCGCGTCTTGTTGCGAAGGGCTATACTCAAAATTATGGCATTGACTATGACGAGACTTTTTCTCCAGTGGCTAAAATTCCTTCTGTTCGTGTCATTATTTCTTTGGCTGCTCGTTTTAAGTGGACTCTTCATCAGCTTGATGTTAAAAATGCGTTCCTTCATGGGGATCTTCAAGAAGAGGTTTATATGGAGCAACCACCCGGGTTTGTTGCTCAGGGGGAGAAGGTATGCCGATTGCGTAAAGCTCTATATGGACTAAAGCAGTCTCCTCGTGCTTGGTTCGGTCGTTTTAGTGATGCTGTTACCAGTTTTGGTATGCATCGATGCAATGTGGATCATTCCGTATTTAGTATGTCATCTTTGAAGGGGTATGTTATTCTGGTTGTTTATGTTGATGATATCATTGTTACTGGGAGTGATGTTGAAGGCATAAAACGACTCAAGCAGTTTCTACAAAAGGAGTTTAATACTAAAGACTTAGGTCTACTTCGATATTTTCTCGGTATCGAAGTTGCATATACTGGTGATAGTATTGCTCTTTCTCAGAGAAAGTACACCATTGATATTCTTAAGGAGGTGGGCTTGCACGATGCTAAGCCTGGTGATACACCTATGGACCCTGGGGTGAAGCTTGATAACGAACACGGGGAGCTTCTTCATGATCCAGAAAAATATCGTCGGTTGGTAGGCAAGTTGAATTATCTTACCATTACTCGTCCGGATATCTCATTTCTTTGTTAGTGTGGTGAGTCGGTTCATGAGCTCTCCTCGTACTACTCACCGGCAAGTTGTCTTACATATTATACGATATTTGAAGGGAGCCCCAGGTCAAGGGCTTGTATTCCATAATCGGGGTCATCTTAATGTAGCTGGTTATTCTGAGCCAGACTCTTTGGAGGTGACAGGATACTCTGATGCAGATTGGGCTGGTTGTCCTGTAGATCGCCGGTCTATATCAGGGTACTGTGTATTCCTTGGAGGTAATCTTGTGTCGTGGAAGAGTAAGAAACAATCAGTTGTTTCTCGATCTAGTGCAGAAGCAGAATATCGTGCTATGGCTAACGTTACAAG